GGTAAGATAAAGGACAATACCAAAGATTTGTTAATTCCCTTGGAAATAAATGTTACTATGCCAAGTATACATTCACACCTCTCTTCCACAGTAAAAGAGTTACAAGCTAGTAATAACACATCAATGAGATGTTTTATCTTTGCTTTTGAAAACAGTATTAAAAGAGGTTCTAGAGCACTGGAAGGCAGCAGACCACTTTGGGTCTCCTGCTGAGACTGAGCTCTAGTTCATTTTTCACAGCTTACATCAAAGACTAAGAGGTTCAAAGTAGTTGGGATCTATAAGCACATAATAAAATAAAACAGGATAAGAAAACATTGAGACAAGCTCAAGTGGATTCTCAAATTGTATAGGCATGTATTTTATATCCCAAGCGTAATGAACGGATAACCCAGTCTACTCATAAACCTTAATTTCTTAAAAATCAGTTTTTGGTTTAGTGATTTTATCTTTTCTTACCACAAACGTATTCTTGGATCAAGTTTCTCTTCTTCTTCCTACCAACTATTCCATTTTTTTAACCCCTTACTCACTTTTGCACTTTACTTGTCCCATCCCAGTATATCAATTGTATCAACTACCTACTTTTCATTTAATATTTACTAGTGCTGAAGAATTGGGCCTCTAAAGAGCAATAAAACCTAATGTCTGTCCTCCAGGACCTAACAGTATAGGAGAGGAAATAAAGGTAAATAAATAGCCGTAACCATGTGATAAAAGCAATAGCAGATATAAGTAGAACCACTTAATTCTGCCCAGTGACATATAAGTTTTAAAGGATAAACAGATAGATATTTGTAGAATTTACAGATAACAGAAAGGCATTCCAGGGAGAAATAAAACATGTGAGGAGACAAAAGGATGAAAACCAACATGGCTGATTCTAAGAACTGCCAAAGAGTTGGACTAAGCTAGAGCACAAAATGCAGGTGAGGACATAGCAGGAAAGGTGGCAAAAGGTCAGTCTTGTGTGCCACATTAAAATAATTGAGACTGCTGTTGATTCACTCTCAATGGGGGAAAAGAGGAGGCATGACATGACAACATGTGCATTTCATAAAGTTTAGAGCAGTGGTAATTTTGCCCTGGAGGTATATGGCAGTGTCTGGAGACTTTTTAAGTTGTGACAAGGGGTAGTGGGGGGCTACTAGCAATTACCAAGTAGAAGCCAGGGATGCTAATATACATCCAACAATGCATAGGAAACCTGCCTACAGCCAAGAATTATCTGGCCCAAAATGTCAGCAGTGCTAAAGTTAAGAAACTCTGGTTAGACATGACTCCTAGGATACAGGAATAGACTAGGGGCAGGGGCTCAAGTAGCACTTAAGTTCTGGTAAAGCAGAGGCCTTCTTCTTGCTTACCCAGCAACTCTAGACCCTAGCCCAGTACCAGATATAAGGTAGAGACATACAGTATCTACTTGGTGAGTGAATGAATGATGTAGGACTCCAGGCAAGAAGTACCAAGGCCTGAAACATGGCAGTGGCAATGATAATGGAGAATAGATTCAATTAAGTAGAATAAACAGTTATTATCTATTAAACAGACCTAAGAAATAAACAGTAAATCTAAAATAAAATGACTTGCAGGCTTCTGGCTTGGAATAACAAGGTTCAGAGAGGGTCAAAAGTTACATTTTAAGTATTTTTAAGTTTGAGATAAATGTGAGCTATTCAAGAGGTCCAATAGTTTACATATGGTTTGAAATATCTAAGAAAATCCAATTTTGCCACAGCTTAACCTAAAATTATCCTCTGAACTGCAGTAAGAAGTTCAATAAAAAATTAACAAATGCTATGTCCAGTATGCCCTCTTGGACTGGATCCTGGAATAAGAAAATGTAATTAGTGGGAAATCTTAGTAACATATGATTAAGGTCTACTATTTACTTAACAGTAATGCACCAATGTTGGTTTAGTAGTTCTGAGAAATAGACCAAGTAATGCAAAATTGTAACATTTGGGAAAACTGCATGAGAGGTATATAGGAACTCTAAACCATCTGTGTAACTTCTAAGTAAATAATTTCTTACTCCAAAATTAAAATTTTATTTAAAGAAAAACAACTACTACCCCAAATGTGTTAAAACTTCAGTATTTGGGATCTATATTAAACATTTAAATCAATATATGCATCTTAAGAAAAGCTAAGATAAAAATGTCAAGAGTTCTTTCTTACCTCCATTGATACCTGGTAGTACCACAATGATCAAGAAAAGAGCAAATAAAACTTTTAAAGGTAGCCAAACAGAAAATGGCAAACATTCAACAAAAGAAGAAATAAGTGAGTACTAGAAACATTCACATATTTTTAAAAAAATCTTCTGAACTATACTTTAACAGCTTGAAACAATACATTGTACCACTATGCGGGCAACTATTCTGTCAACAAGACTGATGAATTAATTCTTCCCATCGCCATCCTATTCATAACTTTAGAGCAGTAACAAAACACACTGTATACCATGGTGAACTCTAGTAAAACATGAAATTAAACTATGACTATGCAAGTAGAGTCATTTTGATCAGTCCAGCTTCTCCACGGTGCTTTCAAAAAGTGTATGTAAATACAGTTTTTAAAACTAGGCAAAATGGGCAATCCATTACAGGTGTTTCTTAATATAAAGAACAAAGATTTTCCTGAAAATGAGAATTGAAGAGAGATAAAAAAAAATTTATAGTGAACCCCAAAAGTAAAACAGTCTTTCAGAAAGGCACATCAATGACCAGCTTAGCAATTAATTCTGTTATCTAAATCAATCAATTAAATATCTATGCTTGGATGCAAAACCCAAGGTATTTTTGCCATATGTATATATAGGGTTCTGTACCATCTGTCGTTTCCAGCATCCACTATAGATCTCAGAATGTATCTCCCATGAATAAGGGAAGACTAGTATATTTATGTTCCCCTCTCCCTCTCAGCAGTATTTAATCTGACCATCAATGACATGGCTTAAAATATTTGATTTTATAAATATTTGGTATTCTTTTCCAAAAAATGACTTAACACCAACTTTCTTTAGTAGGCAAGTGTTATTATTAATAAATTTAGTTTGCTGGGAATAAAGCACAGCATAATGGATTCAAACAGTCTGGGCTGAATCCCGGCTTCACTTCTCACTGTATGTGTGAACTTGGTCAAGTTACCAAAACCTTTCCACGCCTCAATCTCCTCTGTAAAGTAAGCATAATAGGTTCTACCTATGCAATATTTAAGGTTTTAAAAGGAATATAAATGGAAAATGCTTAGAACATTGTCTGGCATATAGAAATTACTCACAGAGCAAATGTTAAGTTATTTACCATCAATCATTCTTACACTTTTATTGCCTACCGCAGGTCTGCCTGACAAGGTACTCAAAGAACAAGTGTAATATGTTCTCTGTATTATATGAAAACATACAGTTTTTCAAAGACAAGATAAACTTTTCCTAAATGGGAAAAATCCTGTAATATTTTATCTTTCCCTTCTTTTAGAAAACCTATCATATCACCTTAGTATAATTTTCTAAGTACAAATATACCCTAGTCTCTCAAATTCTTTTGTTGTTTTAATGGCTGTTCATTACAGTAAGACTGTATATTGAAATTATTTAAACAGGACAATCATATGTTTTTAAAAAATCATACATGATTACCCACCACGCAGACATCACACAGTTTATCTCTGAAAAGCAAGTAGGAGGATATGATCCAGAATACATCACAGAGAGTCAAAAACATGTAAAACATAGAAGAAAGGATAACAAAGCAGATAGTGTTTAATACACTTTCCCACGGCAGAAGAGAACATAAAACAGAGGTTATTTTAAAAGACAATGACTGAGAATTTTTCAATGTCAGTAAAAGACATTTCAGAATCTAAACGAGACAAGTTTGAAAAAAAATTAACATCAAAACATATCATACTCAAACAGCAGAAAACCAAAAAGACAAAATAAAATCTTAAAAGCAATTAGAGAAAAAGGGATTGTCTTCAAAGTAGCAAGTTAGATAGCAAATTTAAACCCAAGTACACCAATGGTTATATGTAAATGACTAAATGTTCCAGATAAAACACAAAGATTGTCATATTCTATTTTTAAAACCCACTTTTATTATTTTTAAAAGACAAAAAAATGAAAAAAAAATTAAAAGGTGAAAGTAAAATGATAGAAAAAGATATGTATCTATAAAAACAAAAGTCATACAAAAACTTGGTCAAGTTACCAAATAGAAGTCATACAAAACTTACTATCTGTATAATAAGTAACCAGAAAAGAGAGAATTAAGTAAGATTTGAGCAGGTAGAAGAAAGAAGAATAAACTATAAAGATCTTTGAAAATTAGGGGTACACTTAGTGGTAGACAAAGTACAACGCTATTAAAATATCTTAACCTCTTTATACTATCTTGAGCAGAAGAGTGACACAACAAAGGTAGAATCGAATAAGGTTACTATTACAGTGTTATACACTATACTGAAAGGGAGAGAGATAGAAGACACCATAGGCAAGAAGATTAGTTTAGATGATGCTGTCTGTATTAACCCAGGTAAGGCAAGAACCTGGTAATAAGTGACGTCAAAAGGGATGGATCTAGAAGGCATCTCAAAACCTATTTGCATCTGTACTCCTTTTTTAAAACTTTAAAGGCAAAAAAAAGAATGTGCTTTTTAAAAGATAACTATTTTTGTCTCCTACCTTTGTAACTAACCTCAATTACATATTGATCCCACTAACTTGACCTAATAATGTATACTTTAGTAAGGAACTTTTGTAAAAATACAATACCAATGAGCGAATTAGCCTACATAAGGTGCAATGTGCACAATCCATAATTATACATGACTTTTTCACTATTAAAACTACTAAGAAAAAAAATGTTTTTTTCCTTTTTAAATGCAGATGTATATAATATGAAGTTCTCTAATACCACAGTTACTAAAAAACCTTTTTATTTTCAAAAGCTCTTTACCAAGAGGCTATTAACTAGTAGTAAACTCAAATAACTCACCAATGCTGGGTGGGCTACCATAGTTAATTGGTGACTCAGGTGGTCTTCCACAGTGCAATGCAGCCAGAGCAGATCCTTTCCACACAACATGCTTGCAGCCTATTAAACACATGTATTTTTAAGCATACAAAGAACCCAAAAAACAAAAAGTGAGATAAAGAATGTCTAAATCCTAAGAGAAAATTTTCATACTTTTATTTGTGCGTAGTAAGGACTGTCTTCCAGCTCCTAATAAAGTTTGTACTCCAGGAACACTTTGAGGAATTTCTTGTTCAAGAAGAGGTCCTAGTCGATGACATATTTGCAGCAAGTGATCAGGTGCTAAGTGTCTGTAATACTTCACCTATTATGTAAAAGACAAATATAGTATGTTTTAGTTTATCATTTTAATTCTCAAAATCTTTCAGCAACAATAAAAAAATTCATCTAACTATAAAATACTTTGTTTTGCATCTTTGATGGTAAAGTCAATCTCCAGAATAATTCAGAATTAAAGACAACTGAAAGTTTATGTTCTTATTAAAAAATTTAAGAACACTTAACATCTATGATGAATTTCATAACTTACCAAAACCTTATAAAGGCAGAATTCCAACTGCTACGTTAAATACTTTAAGTATGTTTCAACCATAAAATAAAGCTACTGACTCCAAAAAGTGTGAGCACAACTTCAAAATGCTGCTTATCTAGCATTTGAAACTATTTTAAAAAGTAACTATTTTTGTCTCCTACCTATATAACTAATCTGAATTATCTACTGATCCCACTAACTCAACCTAATATTATATACTTCAGTAAGGAACTTCTGTAAAAATAAAATACCAATGAGCTAATTAGCCTATATAAAGTGCAATGTGCACAATCTATAATGCTCACATTATAAGTTTTCAGTAAATTAACAATATTCACAATCTAAATAAAATTAAATTGGAAAATATACTACTGTATTACTTTACAATTAGCTATCAAGTTACAAAAAAATTTCCAGAGTAGTACTTAACTACTCTAGTTCAGCTATCTCAAAATATGTTTTAGAAACCCCTGGAGGTCCATCATATAAAACTTACGAATAATACTGTATTAGTTGTTTTCTACTTTTCCTCATGAATGCATGGTGGAGGTTTCCACAGGACATATAACATATGATGTCTGAACAGACTGAATGCAGAAGCGGATAGGAAAATGTCTCTTCTATTAGGCCAGATATTAAAGATTCACAGAAATGTAAAGTTGTTTCTCCTCATAATCTTTTTTTGGTTTGGAAATTATTATTAAAATGTTACTTATATTAACATGAAATTAGTTTATTAGTATTATTTAATAGGTCTCTAATATATTAAATGCTAAGTTTCTAATATGGCAAATGCTGACAGATAATAACCCACAAAAATAAAGGAACTTCAATACATTATATAAGCCTAAAGGGGTCCTGAGACCAAGAAATTTGAAAATTTATCCTGTTTACCCAGTAACCGCAACTTTAACATGAACTCCTTTTGATAAGACTGATTTGGGGGGAGGTAAGGATTTAAATCATTTCATTTCATCTTGCAATATCTGCCATACTCTTAACTGCAGAAGACCATAGATGATACATTTTTAAAAATAGCTAATACTCATTCCTCTAAGCTGAAGCCAGTAGAAGAAACCTACCTTGCTCTTTATCAAAATACATTCCTTCTTTCACAAAGGTAACAGGGCGCTATACTGTCACACTTTAGTAAGATCATTTAAAACAGCAGAGTTTGGCATACAGTAGGTGATAGGTCAGTAAAATGAGTATTTCTGGAAAAAAGGGTTCTAATAGAGAAAGCATAATATAAATCATACATACTACCTCCCTGTTTTATAGTCAAAAAGCACACTGACATTGTAGTCTCTGAAAAATCCTGAGATAATTTCTCAAACTCATTTTGCTACAGAAACCCTTTTTTCCCTAATAATATATACCATATTTGCTCAGAATATACTTTAGGAAACACTAGTATGATTAGCTCAATTAAAAAGCATTTGCATAATGAGTTTTTTAAATTGTATTTATAATTTTCTTTAACCTTCTCCAAAATAATTTATTAAAAATAAAACTCTGAAGAAAAAGTCTAGAATACTTGTAAGGTCGCTTCCAGTTCTAAGCATGCAAATGATTATTTTAATGTGACTTAATTGATCAAAATTCCTTTCAAAAATTTTACTTTAAAAAAGATGGAAGTTCATTGACTATTAACTTCAGATGTGTGATGATCCTGTTTTAGTATCCTCTGGCAAAATATATTTTCAGGTAGTGAAACTGAAAATCCTCACTGGAATTCTCTTTCTCAATAAAATATTATGAATCCACTTGGACTCAAGTGCTTTCTCTGGTGATTTGTAATGCTGAATTTTTCAAAATCAACTTTCTTTTTTCTCCCCCAGTATCAGCTGGATTTAACAGCACAGATTTGAAAAGGGCCGTATCAGCTGAGTTGGATCATGTCCTCTAGCAATGTTAACCAGTTTGGAAGAAGAAGTTGAAAATTCAATAGTGGCAAAGAGCTGAGTTTATTTTGTTTGTTTATTTGTTTTTCAACTTTCATTTTAAAGTCAGAAGTGATACTTTCAGTTCTTAAACTCCTTGTGCTTTCTCTGGCTTTGGAGACTTCATACAAGTTGATCCCTCTGCTGGCAATCTTGTCTTACTGCTCACCACTACATCTCATTCTCCTTCAGGTATGTCTCAGTCTATGTCGCACTCACTGCCTTCCATGACCTATTTACACCACCTGTGCTCCTTTCTGGAAACTCTTTGTTTTCTCACAACACATTATATAATCCTCAAATGTCCCTTAATCCCTCAAGCACTGTGTAGTACTTACCATATTAATTGTTCTTAATGTGTTTTGATACCTAGACTTTGGGGAATCTAATGATAGCTATGATCTTCCTCCCAAAAAATATAAAAGCCCTACCATTATTGCCCTGTTCTGGGGGTTCATAAGACTCATGCACTACAATAAAATTGTCAGTATACTTGTCTGTGTCCTGCATGAGAAGAGATTAGGCCATGTTTACCTCTGTCTACCAAATACCTAATGCAGTATTTACAGTTAAGTGCTTAATAAAGTTCTAATTGGAGAAATGAAGTTTTAAGAATATGGAGACAGTACTGACTTCCCCACTCCCAAAAAACTCAAAACATTTTGTTAGCAGCTATCCCAGCATATAAAAATAGATGCAGTAAAACTTCTTTACATGGTATCATTCTTTATTCTAATAATTTTTGGGGTTTTTTTTGTTGTTGTTTCTTTCTTTGTTTTGAGATGGAGTCTGGCTCCGTTGCCCAGGATGGTGTGCAATGGCAGGATCTCAGCTCTCTGCAACCTCTGCCTCCCAGGTTCAAGTGATTCTCCTGCCTCAGCCCCAAAGTCCCTAGAATTACAGGTGCCTGCCACCACACCCAGCTAATTTTTGTATTTGTAGGAGAGACGAAGTTTTACCATGTTGGCCAGCCTGGTCTCGAACTTCTGACCTTAAGTAATTTGGCCCCCTCCAGGTATCCCAAGTGCTGGGATTACATGCATGAGCCACAGCATCCAGTCGATTCTAATAGTTTTAAAGCACTTTTTAAAGAAAGCCATAGAACATGTCTTCAAACAAAATTTTAGACAAAACAGATTAAAGGTACTCAAAGTATTCTTACTTAAGTGGCATCAGGGAACACATATCTCAATGCTTGACTCTCTACTTGCTTCCTCTTAGCAGTCCCTGAAGTGCCACCATGAAAGGGTCTCTGGAAAGAACAGTGGAAACAGACTAACAAACAATGCTATTAACCTCTCTTTCCCAAGAGTCCTCTTCCCCACCCCTCATTTTCTCAGCAGATGATCTAACCTACTTTATAGAAGAACCATTTTTAAAGCTGAAACTTTGTTTCTTCCCTATCAAAGCTATAAACCTACGAGACCTGTACCAACTGTGTCAAGATCTTAGTAACACAACTGTCACTCTTAATATTTAAGATCCAATCCCTCTACCTATGCTTTGAATCCTAACTTCTCTGACTGTACAGAAATATTACACTATAAATCAGAACTCCACATTCTAGTATGTATACTAACTTCCTCTCAACCAATTCCTTCTCATCTAGACTTACATTTAAATATTGTCATTTTGCATTCACTTTAGGAAAAAACAAAAATCCTCCCTAACTGCTAGTATCCAACACCTCCCCACCCAAATGTCCTGGCTACTCCTTTCTTTCCCATTCTCTTCATCTCCAGAAACATGTTTTTTTAAAAAATGATCCATACTCCATCTCATTCCATATCCCACACTCTCCTCAATCTGCTACATACTAGCTCCCACACTCATGACTTTACAAAAAATAGCTCATACCAAAAGTTCACCTTAATTATCAATAACTCCAATAAGCATTTTTAAATCTACACCTTATTTAATGTCCCATAATATTTCACCTGTTGAAAACGTCTCCATTTGCAAACTGTCGTGACTTAACTTTTGTGACACTCCTTGGCTTAGTTTCTTCCTTTCTAAGCATTCCTTCTCATTTTTCTTTCAGGCTTATCCTCCTCCACATAGCCATTAAATGGTAAAGTTCCTTAAGATCCTGGGTCCCAGAGTCCAGTTCCAGATCCTCTTTTTCATCTCACCATATACTCTCTCCTTGGATAACATTATACCAATGACTGCCAAATTTTTATTTATAGCATAGACTTGCATATCAAACTCTTAAAACATCTCTCTAGACCCCCAAAGCATCTGAAACTCAACATACGCAAAACTGAATCGATGGATCCTCATGGAAATATTCCCCACTAAAGTGTTCCTTACACCTTGGTGGATGTCAACCTCATTTATTCAACCTTAAAAGCCAGAAACCAAGGAGTTGCATTTTTTTTAGAGCCCATTCCTTCCTCCTTCCTATCATATTCCCAATATCCAAGCAGTCACCAACTTCACTTTAATTTTCCTTCCTAATTTTAAATCCATCTACCTGTATCTCCATAATAACAGTCCAGGTTCAAATCATCTTTGCAATAAATACCTACCTTTCTCAAATGCACTCATGCCCCTTCAAATCTGTTCTGTTTACTGCAATTACAATGCTCTTTCCAAAACACGTATCTGATCAAGACACCCCTACTTAAAACACTTCAGAGGCTTTCCTCACTCTTTGGATAAAGATCCAAATCCCCATAGACTACAAACCCAGAAATGCATGTATGGTCGCTTCTTATTTTTCTAGCTTCACCTCGCACATTCCCAGTCCCTTTCCACAACTCTCACTTTTCACATTTCAAACACATGGCCTTCTTTCAGGTTATTTACACATAATCTCTCTCCTGG